TATTATAATCTTGTAGCAACTGATATATTACGATCCCAGAATCTTGGAGAAGAAATGGACGGGGTCGTACTCAAAGATCGTTGTCAGGAAGGGAAAAAGAATATTATTCTCTCTTCCCTTATTCTCGTCTCAAACACCCCATCGCTACCTAACCCTCCCAAAATCTCCACAGGGAGAGAGGGGAAAATGATGGAATGGGGTGCATCCAGCTCAAGATCTGACGATTGAAAACGTAAACAGATCGAGCGAGGAAGGAGACTACCTTCACTTTTTGTGTTTTCGAAATAATCCAAGCATTTGCTAAGAGGACAGGCAGTCACGGAATGCACGAAGCAGAAAATCATAATATGAGCACGGTACCATGCGGAACCATTATATTAATTTCGTTCGTTAATCTTCCGTTAAGTTTCAACTTGGTTGAAGCGTTAATAAACTTACTCTCAAGTTGTGCCGGCCAAGAAAATAAAACCCAGAGGAAATATACCAGGATATAAAGCAACCCAATCATTGAGGCTCCGAGGATAGAATTGCCGAGTAGTGTACATGGAGGCCAACGAAAGGAAAAACAAAAAGAAAAAAAAGAACACGAACTCCGATTTCCATGCTCAAACCTAGATCAGTAAGCTACCTTTGTCCTCATATCCTAGATACACAATGTTAGCAAGATTGACATTCCCGCAACATGCAGGGCCAAATGTAACAAGGAAGGCACTCACGGCAATCTTCCGTTCGATTTCCCGTACCGACCTATCCAACTCCCCGGCAATCTGTTGTTTCTTGTCATTTGGAAGCAAAAGATACGTTTCGCAAAGGTCGCCATCAATGGTTCCCTTCGCAGGGGCATAGTAACTCCTATAAATTAGATGATCTCGTCCAGCGAGCGGAGGGTTCTGCGACGAAAGTTGCATTTCCAGACTTTGGAAGAAATCCACTTCCTCACGACTGACAAATGGTATTAACATCGCCACAGTCCCCTGAAGGCCGGTCCATACGAGGACATCTCGGCCACCCGTTACTAGTTGCGCCTTTTGGATGCTGGTGGGTAAATCCTGAGGGTAGAAGTGGGCGACAAGGTTTAGCCTATTAGGGGCACCTTGTAGGTATTGTCGTTCATGAATCAGATGAGCTCCTGATCCGTCCTCGTCGGCTTCTTCTGACGCCTTTTCCGGACAGCGGAGAAGCCATAGGTTCCCAAACTTGTCGCCTCCAGCAACAGTTTCGTAATCCACCATTGTTGTGCAAGTGGTCCAGCGAGAAATAACATCGTCCACAAATGGGATGAGGCGGTTTTCCTGGTATTTATAGACAACGTAGGTCACGCTTTCCTGTACGTCGCTGACGATGATTCGACTACCCTGTGTTTGCAGACCCACTACAAGGTGCGGGACAACTGAGGCCTGGCATTTTCGAAGCATCTGCCTCATCCCCAGGTCGTATATTCTTACATCCGTACCAATACCAGCCAGAAGCCGCCCTTGGAAGCCAAGAAGGGCCATCGGAGGTTGCTCAACTTTGGTTTTGTGGATAAATTCTAGCTCCTTGCCCTCTTCCTGGAATCTATACACATAGATGAAGCCGGCCGAGGAAGACCTTGGGTTAACAACCATATCTTTTCCGGTTCCCACGACTAAGAAGGTTTCGTCATCTTGGCTCGAAAAGGTCACAGCTGCCACACTAACGGCAGCTTCATTTTCTTCCAGTTCGATTTGTGAAATAACGCTTTGCGAATTTACTGGATCAACAATTTGTATGCATGATGCCCAATGACCAGTCCCGCGTGGGTAACCGAACTCTTCCGGCGGTAAGACCATCGCATCACCATTGACAGCACCAGAGTCATTCAGAAGTTTGGTTCTTGTGCCTGGTGAAAGGATGTTGTTGTCTGCTTCGATTACATAAAATAGTGGGTGTTCAGGGTGTTTGATAAAATGTCGCGGCGTATATTGAAGTGGTATCGTTTCCTGCAGGAGGTTATTCTCCAGTTTCTCAAGAGAAAAGATCCTATTTGTAAAAACGTATCAGTAAATTTTACATCAGGATAAGAGGGGCAAAAGATACGCCAAGGTTAGGAGGTGTTTGAGTTTATTTCAGTAGGAACAATTGGATATTTAAATAATTTATTTATTCCGCATAGTCAACGTGTGACTCGGGATGTTGTTTCATCATGAAAACTTCGCAGACATTCAAAAGAGGGGGGAGAAATTTCAGTACGTACCTAAGATTCTGTCCTTGGATGCCAACCATTCCCTCGATGCATTGTTCACTACTAAAATTCCAACCCCATTCCAAACCGACATAATCCAGAGGGGTAAGCATGAATGCTTTGGTTTGCAAATCCGAATAACCGAGCCAAGGACGCGAGCTTAATGCCAGAATAGCCTTCTGTTCTTTCACAGAAACTTGGAAAAGCTTTACAGGCTTTAAGCCAAGAAATCTCGTACGAGTGTCTGATAGTTCTCCGGTCACTTCGTCAAGCACTGTGCGGAGGTAAATACCCGAATACAGGCCAATATGCAGATAAAGTGTGGATCCACCAGATGTGGAATCAGACATCGCCATAATTGATAGTGCTGATGGTGCCGACGTAAGAGCTTGGACAGACTTATTTTCCAGTGTTGAATCTGGATCCAGGCTCAAAATACGGACAGTAGAGTCGTCGCAACCCACAGCGAGGAATGAACTTCTCGCACGTCCTTTTGGGACCTCACCCAAGCTAAGACATGTGACTGTGCCAGACATTTCTCGTTTCTCATCGTATTCTGCAAGTGAACCATCCGTATCCATCTCGAAGTAAACGATCTCACCGGAGCTTAATGCGACGGCAACTTGGCGCTCGTTTGTTGTAGCTGCAACGATCGATCTATGTTGCGGTGCTGGCCATTCGTTAACTCTTCTGTCAGCGTGGATATGGCGTATACCCTTCGGATGAACTTGGATTAAAGAGTCTTCTCCTAGTTGCTGGACAGCAAGAGTTGGTGCAGAAGATAGGAATCCAGTATCTGTTACTTCTTCTACTGTTTCGCCAATGCTGAGAACGAGCGTTCCATTAGAAAAAGACAAGATGATGTAAGCATCAAATTCGTCTTCACGTGTGAGTTTAGTAGTCCAAACGGCTGATGGTACGCTTGGTAGTTCAGATTCGACGATTTCAGATACCTCCAAGCCGTGCTTAAGGGTACGGAAGCTGCTTCTCGCGCCGGTGCCGCATATGGTGTATATTTGAGGAGCGTCGTCGTCTGTCAAGTTCGCGACCTTGCAATCCATCAGTGGGTTCAATGAATTGATACTTTCGACGAGGTTGACATTTTCATAAGGCCGTGGGCGAAAGTATGCAGGAGCGAGAGGTTCTGAAGGGTCTGCAGAGTACGAGTCACTGGTAAACTCGATTTCATCATCGTCATCGCCAAGCTTTTCAAATTGGTAGAAGTGGTGATTCCCCGTTTCGCTTGCGACAAAGAGGAAGCCACTTTTCAAAATGCACAAGCTCGAAGCAATGGGCACAGTGTCAAAGTACTTTAGTTTCAATCTTCTAACCTCCCCGGTGATCTGGCCATTGTCATCCTCCACCATGTCAATGGTAACCTTGAAAAGATCTCCATCTTCGGTCTGTAGCAAGAAGAAAAATGCACCACGCATTTTATGCATAACGCCAGCTGTTATGTAACGTTTTCGTTCTGGATTTTCTGTGGGCCCACTGCGACGCGGAATAGGTACACGGAAGGCATCCTGATTTGAGTGACGGTAGGTGATGTTGTCCTCTGCACACACAAGACAGCCACTAGGGCCGTCTGCACCGCCAGGAACTTGAAAGAGCATCGTCGCGGAGCGATCGACTGGGTCAGACCATTTCCTGACCACATGATTCAAACCTAGGTCGAGTTCGTAGTAAACGAGATGTTTTTCCAATTCTTCATAGGCCTGGCCCGTGGGATCCTGGTCTGCCTCAGCGTACTCAACTTCCAGAGCTGCAAATATCGGGTTGTCATACCCAACGTCAAGCGCCGCCAAGGCAAAAACCAATGTCTGGGGTTTATGGGCCTCCAACGGCGATGATATCGTTAACTCCGCCTGGGTATTTCTATTCAGAACATATACTAGCTTATTTTTCTCCACCGAAGCGATTAAGCACGCTCTGCCCTTCGGGTCGACTGCTAAATATTGTCCAGGAATAACGCGTCGAATTCCCGATTTCCCAAAAGTTTCAAGATGGATTCTATTGAACCGGTTCTGCGACGGCACGTATTCGATGATGGTGATCCGTCCGGAATCAGACCCAATGATGATGTAATCTAATAAGACACACTCAGCATAGCTCAATCAAAGCTGCCAGGCGACAAGGGACAGAGTTCAGCGGTGCGGCGTGGAATTGTGCGCAACAACAGGAGCTTGCGCTGCCCCAAGAGCTTGACGAATCACTAAAGTGGTCTTGATAAAGGGGATGGGTAAATAACATACCTTTACTACTGCCAGCTAGCCTAAAAGCCGCCAATGTCCGAATGATACCAAAAACATCTTGGGAAAAAAGAGATCTGATTTTTCCCTGTGTCGGGTCAGGGCGATGTATTGTGAGCTTTGAACCAGACGCAGTGACAATCTGCTGCTCCTTAGTCCCTGCAAACTGGCCCAGAATTGCTTGAGTAATTGCTGTAGGCGGTTGGATTGTCAGCGAGTACATGAACAACGACGAAGTGGTCGCCATTTTGAGACAATATTGGGCGTTGAGGACGCCTATGCCAGACGAGAACAGGCAGAAGATCTGGCACAGGCTAGAGGGGAGTCAATTGCATTGTCATAAGTATAGAAGAGACCTGACACGCGGTCAAGGCAGTTCCTAGCCACTGGTATAGGTGCAACGAAGCAGTGTAGAAAACAGACGGGGTGGTAATCGCACAAGAAAATTAGCTCTCTTGTGTTGTGTGGAGGTTGGTTGAGGTTGAATTTTTGCTAGGTTCGGTGTTGTTCCATGCGGCTCTAGTGGCGCAGGCGAGCTCCCTTTCGGCACTAGCGCCGATCCGCCATTATTACGTCCTGCAGCCATCAATCACGACCACGGCGGCTTTACCTCTGTTCAATGCTGCATCAGTACTCCGTACTGTTTCACTGTCAGACAAGCGGATATTGCTGTTGTAAGACCCCCTGTCTCTTTATATTACGATTTAACATCCTGAGTTCATCCTCTAGCTGGGTTGTACGTCTTTTGTTCATCCCTCTTCCTCGCCCTGCTCTTCCCCTCACTCCTCACTTGGCTCTGTAATCATGGCGGAGGATAGTTCTAGAGGCGAGGAATCGCCCATCACCTTCCACGTCAAATCTTCAAATGATATAAAATATACTTTGACGCTCGACCCGTCGACCACTATAGCCGATCTGAAAGCTAAACTAGCTGGCCCCGACTATGCTGATGTGCCAGCAGAACGACAACGCCTGATCTATTCTGGTCGGGTGCTGAAAGATGGCGATACCCTAGCTACTCACAACGTTAAGGATGGCCATGCTATTCACCTTGTTAGGAGCGCCGCGAGCAATCAGCGCCCAGCCCCCCCATCTCAAGGTGCCAGCGCTGCAGCGGGAGACCGAACCCGATCACCGGGCGTGGCAAACGTGCCAACCAACATCGCGGCCGGGACGGGAAATAATCCATTAGCGGGACTTACAGGCGCAAGATATGCTGGGTTTGCGCAGTTGCCAGGTGCTGGTATGTTTGGACCTGATGGTGGTGTAAGTGAAACAAACTCCGCTCCGTCCCTCTCCTTAACGGGTTCTTTGAAACCGAACCCTGACGTTTTCGCATAGATGGGCCCACCTCCAGATTCGGAGGAATTAATTAGCATGCTCGAAAATCCGCAATTCCAGTCTACGATGAATGAAGCGTTACAAAACCCTCAACTTCTTGACCTGATGATTCAGCAAAACCCGATGTTGCGGGAGATGGGCCCCGGGGTTCGCCAAATGATGCAATCGCCGGCATTTAGACGGATATTGACTGATCCAAATGCGATCCGCCAAATGACGCAGATGCAAAGGGCCATGGGCTTAGGTCGTGGCGGAGGGGCTGGAGTAGGTAGCGCATTTCCCGCTCCAGGTGTAACAAACACAACCCCCGAGGAGAATTTGGGTTCCCAGGATAATCAGAATCCATCTGCCCATGCGTCCAACGATGCCGCAAACATGTTCAACTTGTTTGGCATGCCGGGAGCTCAAGTTGGTGCTGCTAGCGGAAACCCATTCGCCGCCCTCTTCGGTGCAACTCCACCATTCGGCGCAACCACCCCTCCACAAGCACCAGCTGGCGACACTACAGGAACAGCTCGAGAGGGATCTACGGGAGCCACTCCAACACCAAACCCATTCGCATCATTATTTAACCCTGCCCTCTTCGGCCAACCTCAAGCCAACCCGAACAACCAAAACCAGCAGCAGCAGCAGCAGCAGCAACCTCAAAACCCCTCCAACCCTTTCGCAAACATTCAAAACAACCCATTCCTCCAGGACCCTAATTTGCTCTCTCAGATGCTACAAGCACTAGGTGGCGGCCAAAACGCGCCTTCTTCCAATGTAGACCCAGCCAACAATCCCCTTGCGGCTTTGTTCGGGGGTGGAGGTGTTGGCAGCCCAGCGCCCCCGGATACCCGGCCGCCGGAAGAAAGATATGCAGAGCAACTGAGACAACTGAATGATATGGGCTTTTACGAATTCGAGCGGAATATTGAGGCTTTGAGACGGACGGGCGGTAGCGTGCAGGGCGCGGTTGAATATTTACTCAGCCATCCATGAACATTCCTTCCTTCTTCTGCTTCACTATTGTGTCTTGCCTATATCCCCAGCAAAGCAAGAATTGCGGGGCCTGCCATTGTTCATTATACTTTATGTAATTTCGTTTCTTTTGTTTTCCGTCACGCTTCCAGCATGTTGGTGATGCCAACAAACCCGAGTTTTAAGAGAAAAATGAAAGTTTTTCCAACTATGATTCATTTGATGTTCTATTTTTCGTTCTACCTTTTTTTTTTTTTTTTTTTTTTTTTTTTTAAACTCTTGCTGTAATGCCCTGTCATCACCACCATCTTCATTTTCTTCCTTTACCATCGCTTTCCCTATGCTTTAGCCCTAAACCCCCCCCATCTCTGCTGCCCTAATCACTACATCTCGTACCGTTCCGTTCCGTTCCTTGTTCCTCTGCTCATACTGGTACCTGTAATCCCTCATTTTCCCATGTTTTTAGAAACCAGATTGTCAAGCTACGCAGGAATTGCTTTTTTCCATTTTAAAACCCTTCCTTAATCGCCGTACTTCAAGTAGATAAGTTTTGCTCTGTTTCTGATCCTGCTCCTGCTCCTACCCTCTTCATAGTGACCGGAGAAAGAGTACATATTTTGCTATAAAAAATAAAATATTATAAGAAATAGGAGAAAGGGAAAAAAAAGAAAAAAAAAAAAAAAAAAAAAAAAAAAAAAAAAAAAGATAGATAAAAACATCCATAATCTTCTTCGCGTATATATGTATGTAGCTAGAACCCCTCTTCGGATTTTGGTCCCCACCCCACCCTAGCATCGGCGGCGAACAGAGCATCATTTCCTATCTCTCCTAAGACATATGTTCAGAAAACACAACACCGCCACCAACAGAACAGGCTGTGATTTGAAGATCCAGTATCCAGTCCCAGGAAAGGGAAAAACTTGTGAATTTTCTCAAAACGTCTAAATTGCTGCGTTCACGATATCCAGACAAGTGCAGGAAACTGAAATGACTGGAAACCAAATATACTGAGGGCATGTGTATAGTAAATTGACCTTAGTTAAAAACGGAGAAAAAAGGAGAAAAGGTTCAGAATATTGCTGCTGCTGCCGCAGTAAAAGTGTAGGAAGATTCAAGGTTATCTGTACTCCGTAATGTATTTATGATAATCTAGGCTGATGCAGGAGCAACTCCTACAAAAAGCTTAGCTATGGAACAATCCCAGATGGCGTGAGGTCAAATATAACAAACTAGTGTGTATGTACATGTACAGATGTACAGAGGTCGCTTTCAAAAGTTTTATTAGCGCTAAGAATTTAACTTGTAATCCAGTTACCAACATCCATTCTCTCTCCTAACCATAATTCTGAGGGGGTGAATGCCTGTGGTGCTTGAATAAACAGCTACTGCTTAGCATCAGTATTACAGCTTAAATTCTGGGCGCTAATCAAAACTTTTGAAAGAGACCTTCGTCAGCTTTCTCTTACTAACCTGACTTGACATGCCCGATTTGGTACTTCCCAACACCCGATCTTAGGGAATGTTACAGGCAATCAGCTCGAGAGCTCTCTGCATCGGGGTTGGGGCAGCAAGGTGCATGAAACAATCCAGGTTATTGGTATCCTTCATTTATATAGCGACCCGGCGCAATTCGGAGTTCTCTTAGACCAACCAACCCCAAAACCAAAAAGAGCAATGATCCACTTCTAAGCGCCGTGGCTGGAAAGCCATCGATGTGTCCGGTTGCATAGAAGGTGCTAACAGCAACAATGTCCACGGTATCCGACACAACACCCATGGCAAGAATGTTCCGTTTCATGGTTGGTGGTTTCGCGGCTGGCAATGCAGCTCCAAACACAATATCGCGGACGCCGCCGACTCGACTGATGCTCAACGCGGGAGGTGTTGGGGGTACACATAAGATGCGGGCGATATGTGTAGGGACGGCGAGAAATGATACTCCAACCACGCACCTAAGGGAGGAGAGGATGTATATGGCAGCAGTCGACATGGTGGTTAAGGCAGGGTATAAATCCGTTTGAGAAGATTTTGTTGATGCGAGATATCTTCCTTGATTCAATAAACAATTGGGGCGGCCTCCCGTTTCGTTTTTGTGAGGTGTACCTATTCAAAGGAGCTTAATAGAAGCTGGGCAGTTATTCAGATAAATCGTAAATTATTTCTCTGTTTATATATAGTAGGTCTTCAATCACCTTGGTTGCCTGCAGGTGGTTTAGTCAACCCATTCAAGTTCCTTTAACATAACGAGAGGCTCGCATGTCGCTTCCGCCAACAAGGGGGGGATGACTGGGAATATCGGCAACATGGTGAGATGTACGCCCACGGGTGGATGATTCCCCCGAGAATACGAACTCCGGATGATAATCTTCCGACTACGCTCTTCGTAGTGTGTTGTTTGCCAGTATGGCCCGTGTCCGTGCGGTATATACATGTGTTTATCAAATGACAATGCATTGATACATAGGGAGTTAGCCGCGCCTTGTTAGGCGCCAAATATTTAGGCGCGAACCAATTGAAGAATCGAAAGTGGGAAAATGCCGTCTGAGAACAAGCATGAATGAGCGTTAGGGCGAGGATGATTGATTATTTCACCATAATTAAAAACTGCGGCAGCGACAGCCGCAGCAACTGAAGATAATTAGATGAAGTCTTTCAAGGACTCACGGAGTCTGTTGCAAATGGGCAGCTTTTACGGCGACTGATTGAATAAGTTGAACTGATCTGCCCCTCCATTAGTGACTATTCATACAGCCTCTCTCCCGGAAACCCCTCCCATCAGAGGTGATATGTGACGCAGCTGTTCAATACACCCGAAAGTATTCGCTGGCGTTGAGGTGGCATTCTGGCATTTTCCCGCTAAGCCGTCGATCATGACCGTCAATCCCGAGCCATGAAGGAAGAAGGAAACTTTCGAAAGAAGATAGATCACTTCATAAAGATGTGCGTGCTTGCAATGAAGAGATGAGAGAGAGTCAAGTTTTATAAATGTATACAAAAATATCTCGCAGGTTCAAGCCTTACCCAGTTAGGTAATGTTGGACCGCCGGTGGTTTAACGGCAACCCAATTATTATCGCGAACTTAAACAATACATCGTTATTCCATACGCTGTAGTGCATTGCTCTCACCATCTCCATTCCAATAATTATCTCCAGCCTTCTTCCTTGAGTGTCACAAACTTTACTTCTGACATTCCCTCTATCTCCCTCGCTTGGTGCGCTCTATCGTGTAGTATGGCCTAGGATCGATAAGCAAAAAGCTACCTAGCTATACGCAGTACGCAGCGTAGTTACAGAGCAGCGTCATCCGGCACACCTCTAACCTCTGCGCGTCTGTAGGCAACCCCCCGGGGCACTTTGTGCCAATTACACTCCTTTAGCACCGTTGTATTCTCAACAATCGGCGCGCAGGGCACAGGCTTCCTTGCCAGAGACTGGCTGACCCTTTTGCCCGCTTGCCCTTCGACGAGTCCACGCCCCTGTCAAACTAAATAATAGACAACAACAGGCTGCTTATGCAGTTGCTTTATCCCGCTCGGTGGTTGCTAACGACACAGCTACGTTCAGCGCCATGGCTCTTCATACCCAGATGCGAGTACGGTTGCTAGCATTGACACTACTAGCATGGCTCGGTCTGGCCAAAGCTTTCTACTTACCTGGTAAGATGGTGATTCTGTGAAACTCGGACCTTACGTGGCAAACGTTAACGAGACGGACACCCGGCCGTTTAGGATACTCTATCAAAAGCTACCGCAACGACGAGGCTATCCCGGTATTCGTAAATAAGATCTTTTCAGACAATACGCAGCTACAGTACGCATACTTCGATCTTCCGTTCGTGTGCCCTCCGACTGGAAAGAAACATGACTCTCCTTTCGCAAGCGGGCACAGTATATCACTCAATCTAGGCGAAGTGCTCCGTGGGGATAGGATCATGGCCTCCGACTTCGACGTTGTAATGGGAAAAGATGTCGAATGCCGATTCCTCTGTAGCCGCCCGATCGACCGCAATGATATCAAACGGGCCAAGGAATTGATCACGGATGGGTATGTTGCGGAGTGGATCATGGACAACCTTCCGGGTGCTACAAGTTTCGTCACCGTAGACCGGACGCGAAAGTACTATGCAACGGGGTTTAAGCTGGGATACCTAGATGTCTCCCCAGTGGACGGCAAACCCAGACACTACATACACAACCATTTTACATTTGTCATCCGCTGGCGTGAAGCACCGGGTAAAGCTGGTCGACAGGGCGGGAAAGTGATTGTGGGCTTTGAGATCCATACGAAGAGCATCGACACGAATGATAGGCTTGAAAATGGCTGTCCTAGAAAGCTCCAGGCTGACCATGATGGATTGGCGTTACATATTCCCTCAAATAACACGAGCCTGGCGCAGCAGTACGCTGACTCGTCCTACATCCCAGAACACGTCGTGGATGTAGACGACGGAGCCACCCTTTCAATCCCGTATACATACTCCGTCTACTTCCGGAAAGAAGACAAAGTTGAGTGGTGGAACCGTTGGGATTTATACTTCAATAACCAAAGAGAAGGAACTACAACCCACTGGCTAGCGATACTGAATTCTTTGGTGGTATCAGGCGTGCTGGGTGTCACAGTCTTTGTGATCTGGGGCAAAACAGCCCAGGGGGATGTTAAGTGTCGTGGAGATGGAGCGATGGAGGAGGGAAAGATCAGACCACGACCTCGTAAATCGAAAAGCGGTTCTAGAACACCAAAATCCGGTGAAAATATCTCGAATGGCCTTTCCGATAAGGACTTGGAAGCAGATGAACCAGACACCGACGATGAGCTCGAGGAGGTCGCGGGATGGAAACTTCTTCACGGGGATGTCTTTCGCACCCCTGAATACAGTGGGCTCCTTGCACCACTCGTTGGATCAGGAATGCAATTACTTTTTATGGCAGCTGGCCTCCTTCTCCTGAGCTGCCTTGGAGTTCTTAACCCAAGTTTCCGTGGTGGATTTCTTTCCGTCGGCATTGGCCTTTTTGTTTTTGCCGGTGTATTCTCTGGTTATTTCTCTGGAAGGCTCTACAGGACTTTTCGCGGCCAAAACTGGCGCAAAAACACGATGATCGTGAGTGACAGAACTGTGTTTCTCTCCTTCGAGATTCCATTGTGTAAATGAAATAAATACTGACTCATAGCACCAGACCGCTCTGCTTTTCCCTGGCCTACTCTTTTGCCTAGTATTTGTTTTGAACCTCTTTGTCTGGGCTCAGGCGTCTAGCACCGCGCTACCGTTCGGCACACTTGTCGGCTTGCTGGCTCTTTGGCTTCTTATTCAAGTCCCCCTTGTCTATCTTGGTAGCTGGTTTGGATTTATGTGGGCCAAGCCTTGGGAGCATCCGACCCGAACGAACGCCATCGCACGCCAGATACCACCTCAGTCATGGTATCTGAGGACTGTCCACGGAACACTCCTTACCGGACTCGTTCCATTTACCGTTCTCTTTGTCGAGTTGCTTTTTGTCTTCAAAAACCTGCTGCAGGACAAAAGCGGACACTACTACGTCTTTGGATATCTTAGTGTTGTCTGTACGATCTTAATCGTTACTGTGGCTCAGGTCACCATAATCGCGACATACTGCCAGTTAAGCAGTGAGGTAAGTGTTTCCTCACCCCCCTGAACCGCCTCCCTTTCTTCCTAACTCCGCTCTTTCCAACTTATACTAATGACTAAATTTAAATCATCAGAACCACCGCTGGTGGTGGCAAAGCTTCTTCACAGGAGGCAGCGGCGCTTTTTGGATCTTTATGTATTGCATTTGGTACTACTTCGCCAAACTACACGTGCGCGGCTTTGTTTCGAGCCTATTATTCTTCAGCTACAGTTTCCTCGGCTGTGCCGTATACGGGCTATTAGCTGGAACTGTTGGATTCTTGACTGCTTATGCTTTTGTTCGCCGTATATACAGGTATGTGTGGGCGTGCTAGCCATATATCAATATTTTTTTCAACAACAGTCCCCTTCCCCGTTGGAAATTATTTAATTTCTTGTGGTTTTAATGGCTAACAAAACTTAACCGCCTCAGCTCAGTAAAAGTTGACTGATGACCTGACCGAACCAAGTCCATCCTTTTCTTTTCCAATATATACCAAGCAGTTTACCCATTACGTTTTATTTTGTTTAAACCGGACTCACACCTGAACGAAAGCCATTTCCCTTTTTAGAACTGTAAAAGTGATAGATCAACATCCAACCAACAACATTATCCTCATTTCCGTTTCTGCCGTCTAGATATAATGAAGCTATTAGCGACATCAGAACACCACTGACTCTGCGCTCTTTTTTAGCGCTTTACCTTTTTTCTTCCCTCCCCCTCCCCCCGTCCCTCTTTTTTATATTTTTTTAGGCTTTCATTCCTCATTCCCACCTTCAGATATAAAACTACAAGTTGTAATTAGCCTTTTGTCATTATTATTACTTGATTGAACTTGCGTTTCAGCGGTGCTGATGAATCTTCTACATGAATGCTGCTTTGTTAGTTTCATTATTTCTGAGACTGTACTAGTGATATATATTTTTGATGTGTTTTGACCTTGTCTGTCTGCCTTTGGTTTTTGTTTTTCCCCCTCTTCTTTTTTTTTTTTTTTTTTTTTTTTTTTTTCATATATAAATAGTTATAACGCCACCTAGGACAACCCCCTATATATTTAACCTCTAGTTAGTTTAGGGGTTTAACACCTTTTCATGTGTTGCCTTGATCTCTACTCCGTAGAAAGGACAGAGTAATAACAACATCGAATAACTTCTCTATGTTTGACTCCTCAATGATCAACTTGGACAAATTTCACTTTACCCATACAACTCAGTATTCAGTATGATTGGACTCTACTGGATGGATGTATGAAACCCTATGCCAATTCATCCCTATTCTAAGCCGTAACCCAGTAGAACCAGAAGACATAAATCCCATAATCCAGCAGCTACTTACGACGTGCCTCGGTTCCACAATATTTGGTGTAGGGGCATTCCGTTTTACTAGCTAGTTATTACCGAAAAAATTGCTGCAGAGGTGATGGTCAACATCTCCGCCACGAGCAGTCCATCTTCGAGCTGTTAAATCAAGCGCCGCAATTATTCAAAAACGGCGCACTCCACGAACGCATGCCATGATTAACAAACCGCGCCATGCCCTTCAGTGGAATGCTGCAACTCTCAAAAGCATTAGCTTACTTGGAGTCTTAGGTTATGCACATGGAGATCAACCCCCGAAACATCCTCCTTGATAACCAAGATCAGCCCAAACGGATTGACCTCGATCATGCACTCAAAATCGGAGACGACCTACATGTTGGGTACGAGCCACACGTAACGCTTCTAAAGCTGGGCGGCGAACCAGGGGTGCGGAGGAGCTTTACGCAGAACTAGATGGGCCCGACCAAGTTAATAGGCTTATTGAAGGCGAATTACCGGTTGTGAATCGTGATAGTCCTATCGACGGCATTATTTTTCACTGCTGGCACGGTAAATTTGAGTCCACTGCTCAGCTTTAGCACGCGTTCGTCAACTTTTTGTTTTTGACAAGAAATTTGAGGAGAGTAAAGTGGCATGCTGCTTTATTTGGTCGATCGCGGTTAACCAGTCAAATCCAGCTCGAATGGACCGGCGAAAGATACATTTGGTCCGGTTGAAGCTATGCCAAACTACTACATTGTGGGTGTCACTAGCCTCATTGGTGGTGCTGTGTCCGGACGTTAGAGATGGAGTTATTGGAATTGTAGGTAATGCATTTAACGGGGAGAATATGGATTGAATACGTGGTTCAACATATTGAGCAGGAATCAATATTCACTGTTCCGCTACAGAGCAGTTGAATAGGTGCTAATCCAGGAACTCACACTTTTATAGGTGTCCTGAAATATTATTGATATATCTGAGCTTCTTCGGAATCTTTCGTTAATGCCCATAATAAGTCATCTCCCCGATTGTGTGGAAATATGGAAGGCACTGATGAATAGAAAGCGTACGTTGCCGGTATATGGCGGACCAATCAAGTCTGTTAAGACATTTAGATGCGCAGCGACAAGACAAGCAACAAAAAAGTAACTAGTTATCAAAACGACGCTGATAATTTGCGTTATTCCCAATGTAGACGCCCAAGAATGATAGAAACAAAGGAGAGAAAATATCTTAAGAATCTAGAGTATATCACAGAAGCATGAAAATGTGGTGAAAGAAACAGAGGCTAGAAAAGGGAAGGAGAAAAAAATATATATACATCCATAAAATTTGCTCATCAAACTTGATCCATTGCTGCTATTCTCGCTGTCTAGAATCGATGCGCTATCTCAAATTTGTAGAAACGACAAGTAGCCGAAACGATCTTTCGTCCTGTGCTAATACATGCTGTCTGGTTTGGAATATTCTTTTTGTTTGCTCTCCGTGCAGTGGCGGTATTCCAATTTGATGATTGTCGGGTACTGGACTCATCGAATGTTGTTGTACACCGAAGAGGATAATAAATCTTAAAGGCTTCACCAGGCGCATGGACGCGAGGTAGGCTATTTGAATTCATATAACCTTTGTCGGGGCAGGCTATGTCGTTTGTCATTATCGGCATTATGCGAAACTGGTGGGTTCTATTCATGGTCATCTTCCTTCGAACATTCGTCTCCACCAGGCAGGCGGGTCAAGCGGCCTGTGTCCACCATGAAGGGAAGGATAGACATCTGAAAAGAAATACCAGATGTGACCCACGACGACGCCGCAGATTTCGTCTTTCGGAATGACCCCATGCACGACAAGGCTAAATGCGATTAGGACCCATGGAAGGTATGGCGCGGAAATAGCTAGCAGGCCTAGCAAATGCAGTCTTGTTTCTGGATTCCGTCGGCTCCATATGTAGACTAGGCTTGAGGAGAGAGCTGAGCCTAGGAAGGGGAGCGAGAGTAATGGGGATAGTAGGAGGAGGAAAGAAGTGGCGTATAGGAGCAGCCACGCAAAATCGGCTGAGGTATGGCCGGCCGCCTCTTCTATGAGGCGCGAGTACCTTTGGAGGAAAAAGACGCGGAACAGAAGATCTAGGTTAAGGGGTCCGAAGTAGATGAATGTTGTAATGACTCGCCAGTACTATTAAATGACAATCAAAGGTATTAGAACTGTATATATGGAAGATAGAACGAGCGCGGAGAGGGGTGGCTTTGCTTACCTGGGACTTGGCATATACGGCGCGGAAGCTATAGAAGAGCTGAAACGGAGTGACAACGCCGCACTGAACCAAGACAGACGTGGCTAGAGTGGCAGCTGTCCACCATCGCGTGCAGACCGGCATCTCAAAGAACCATTGCTCTAGGGGGAATTGGGCCCCTCCTGGGCGCCCGTTACCCCAGATCGCGGCCATTGGGTGACCGGAATTCGGAGGTTGGAGATGTCGTCTATCTTGTCCCGTGTACCTTTCTGCTATAGGAAAAAAATAATGGACAAGTACATGGGAGATTTACGTCGCATGTGGAAAGTAGTTACCTTCTCCAAATAACAATTGTGATGGGAATATCAATTCATTGTCAAGCTGTCCTTTCGGCTTTCGAACACAGCTATGTTGCGATCTATCGTAATTGACGGCTGACATAATCATCTACTCGGGAACAACAGATACTCCATGTCCGTGTGCTTGGCATACCACGCCCCTTTTAAGACTAGCGCACCTTCCCGCGTTTGTTCTCACGCGTAAAGTGCCAGCCGCTAGCCAATCAGAGCGCGTCATTCGCCGCTCCCAACCTCCCCATATATTTTTATTCTCTCTCAAGCCACACGGGTTTTCTCTTCTCTTTGCCCCTTGATGGTAGTTTGCGTCTACGACAATTCTATATACGGAGTACATTATCGCCTCTCCTTTAATTCCTAGAATGAGCAATTTCCAACTGTGAAACAATCCCCAATCTCGCAAAAACGGAAAATCATTACCACGGACTGGAACTATACCATCTACGATAGCTCCGAATTGACAAGCATTGAATAGTCACCCGTTACCGACAGATCAAACAGGCGGTTAGAGGTCCATTACAGTTTGCCCAATTGCCCGTACTTTAATCCGCTACAAATAAATCCGGCATTGCGCGCGCGGAAGGCCTCCTTTCAATACCCGGCGCATTTCGCTCAGGACTGGCTAGGATTCCCAGGATTACTTCGGGAAAGCCATGGCTCCAAGGGGGCGCGGTGGGAAAATAGTACTAGCAGGCAGCCCACAAACGCGAAGGACAATTGGTGAAGGAGTTGGCTCAAGGTCAGTTGCAGCTGTCGCGGGCCCGTCGTCGAGGGGGGGAAGTACACGAGGGAAAGGCCGGGGACGCGGGGGTGGAAGAGGCGGTGCACGAGCGCGGAATACTGATATACAACGTGTGTTTTACTCTATCTCCTCTTTTATATTTTGTAAACGTATAACTAAACATTATCTGTTCCCGATGTAGCTGGCGACCCTCTCCCTCTCCCGCGACGCCATCGGTACAAACCCGGCACGCTTGCCCTCAAAGAAATCCGCCGCTACCAAAAGTCCTGGGACCTCCTCCTCCTCAAGCTCCCATTTGCGCGCCTCGTTCGTGAAGTAGCTGTCGACCTCCTGCCAGCCGGCGTCGGTGAGGAATTACGATGGCAGTCCCAGGCCATCCAGGCTTTACAGGAAGCCGCAGAAGCGTTTCTCGTCCACCTATTTGAGGACACGAATCTGTGCGCTATACATGCCAAACGGGTCACCATTATGCAAAAAGACATACAACTGGCCCGCCGGATTCGGGGGGCATGGGCAGGGTTAGGATAAATCTGGCCTTACCGATATGCCAGGACAAGTTTTTTTTTTTTTTTTTTTGGGTGGGAATGGAGTGGAGTGGGGAAGTTTGTATATAGACTCATTTTTGCTACCCCCTCTGCGATTTTATTTTTTCAACTTTTCACCTTTGTTCATCCTTCAGTTGGGCATGCATTGGGTCGGTCGTCTCGGTCGGGTATAGCACTTGTATTTCCCCCTCCTCATTCTGGGCGTTATTGGGAGAGGGCTGGAGGCACTGGTAAACTATTGTTCTGCCAGGAATTTTGTCGGGCGTGTTGGAGTTTTCCTTTTTGCCTTTTACTTTTTCTCATCTTCCATTCTCATCTTGAAATCACGAGAAATTAATACCGAGTGGAAATAAACAGAAAGAGGGCGGCGCAGAGTTATAAAACAATGTTCGATTGATTGATTGAATTGTCTTTGCTAGGTATCTTTAGATGCTTGCTTTCATTTCCTCCGTTTGAGCAATTACACAGACCACATCTTCATTTTCTGTTTTCACTTGTGGTCATTCCCTTCTTGAGCGTTTGTCTCCTTCTATCTAATACCTACTTCCGTCTCTCTGCTATGCCGGCCATCAGGGTCTAATCAGATAATGTGCGTCACGGGGTTGGCCACGATCACCTCTCCCTACGGAAGAAATACTTTATGTTTAATCCACGGGATTGCTATGGATGTGTAGCCCGTCCTGCTAACCCTAGTGATATGAACCAAGTATAAAAACATGACACGCTTACAACCGGAGCTATTCATCCAACTTGATATGCGTCTTTGAGCACAGGAGGAAGATAGGGTGACAGGAAAAAAATCCGTAAAATAGCATTGTATTTCTCACGGATTCAAGCACAGAAAACCATTCCCAAAATTTTAGAAACCCCACCGAGAAGATAACGAGACGAGGGCCAAACGCCGGGCGGGATCATCATCTCGCACCCCAAACCGGGCTGCTCAGGATAATATCTAATTCCAGTTCCACAAAAACGCCAGTCATGTATGTGAGCCGTGTCGTCAACATGTCATAAAATAGAAAATTAACAACAATCAGAGTATGTCATAATCCGGGGTATCTGGTAGTAATCTCAATCAAATCTCTACTGCCTTCATGGTCATTTCCGACGACGACCGTCCAGCACTACTGCCACCCTGACTATGAGAGTGATTGCTATTACCCGATTTCATCTTCTTCAGCACAGGCGGCAATCCCAGCAGCGCAACATCTGCTTGCTCACGAGTGGCATGAGCCTCTCTCGATTTCCCTTGAGAGTCCAGCGTGG